GCGCCCCCCTAGCTCCCCGCGCACGTCCGCCTCCCGCTCGCCCCCCAGCTCCTGCGCACTCCCGCGCGCGCGCGCCGGGAACCCGAGCTCCCCACCCGCTGGGAGCCCTCAGTGTCTCTCTTGGATCCCTCCATGGGGAAACTGAGGCTGGTGTACAGTCCCAGTGTACCCACCCGCACCCCCACCGGCAGCAGGAGAAGCGCAAGTCAGTTAGTGAACGCTCGGTTCCCCCCGGTGGGCAGAGAGAGGACAGTCTGGGGTCAGAAGTGGCTTTTCGAGCCCGTGACATTGCGCTCAGATGGAAGGATCAGGAGGAAGCCGCTTTCCTAAGCGCAGCCAGGGACACTTGCCAGAGAAGGGACAGGGCTCGGTTACAGCCAGGCGCCACTTCCTGGCCCTCTCTGGGCCTGGGCAGTCGCCTCTGTAAATGTGTCCGGGTGAGATGGTCAGGAGTGGCCAGCTACGTCCCCAACCTGGCAGGACACAGGCAGGGCCCAGAGGTGGGAGCAGGGCTGCCACCCCCAGCGGGCTGGGCAGAACAGGCCTGCCCCACACAGCACATAGCAGGGCGCCACAGCTCTGCCGTCAGATTGAAGGCTTCTGGGAGAGTTGAGATTGCAGCCCCCACGCTCACCGTGGAAAGGAGCTCATGGCTGGGGATACAGCTCAATGGCACAAGCGCCTGCCTGGTAAGCGAAAGGTCCTGAGTTCAATTCTGGTGCAAAAAGAAAATTGAAAGGAGCTCACGGGGAGGGACCTTTGGCTCTCATCTTGAATATAGAAAATCTCAGTCCCTCAGTAAGTCAACAAACAAACATGTACTAAGTGCCTACTGCAGGTCAGACAGCTCTAAGTACCAGGCACAATGGGAGACCAAAGTGGGGGAAAACCCTTTGAACTTGCGTTTGGGCTCCGTGCAGGCTGGTAAAGGCCTTTGAGCAGCAGTTTAGTAGCCAGATATCTACTGAGGACCCCTGTTCTGAACCTGGGCCAGGGGTCCAGAGAGGAGAGAGGAGAGCTGAGCCCAGCCCTGTGTGACCTGCTCCAGAGAAGTGGGGATCGCTCCAGAGAGAGAAGGAAGAGAGACTGATAACAAAAAGCCCCCACTGCCGGAGCGCAGGCCTGTAATCCCAGAACTTGGGAGGCTGAGGCAGGAGGATCGCTGTGAGTTCCAGGCCAGCCTGGGCTACAAAGTGAGCTCAAGGCCAGCCTGAACTGCATAGTGAGACCCTGTCTCAAAAAAAAGACAAAAAAAAAAAAAGCCCCCCCACCCTGCCAATCTAGAGGGGGTGGAGAGGCGTGGAGAAGGCTGGCGTTGTTGATGGAGATGGAACTTTTTTTTTTAAATTTATTTATGATGATGATGATGATGATGTTATGTAGTGCTGGGGATCGAACCCAGGGCCTTGTGCATGCAAGGGAAGAGCTCTACCACTAAACCACATCCCCAGCCCCTGGAGATGGAAGCTAAGGAAGGGCGAGGAGAGACCCCAGGGGCTAGGGTCACAGGAGCACAGGTGTGTTGGAGCATCCTGTTGCCATCCAAGTCAAACCCAGAAGCCGGGCACCCCGTCATCCCAATACTCGGGAGGCTGAGGCAGGAGGACCATGTGAGTTTGAGGCCACCCTGGGCTACACAGCAAGGCTCTGTCTCAAAACAAACAAACAAACAAACTCCAACATAAAAACAAATAATTCCAGAGCTGAGGGTCTGGTCAGGCACTTGCCTGCTATACATGAAGCCCCAGATTTGATCCCCAGCCCTGAGAAAATAAAGATAATACTCAATTTCCTCTGTCTTCCCAGAATTCTCTGCACAACCTCCCATCTCTGTGCCCCGCCACGTCCACTCCCATGGTTTCACCCTCTTCCCCGGGTCACGCTGGTCCCCGCACGCGGGGCACAGCCCTGCCTCGGGACACTGTATCTTCCCACACTCCTCCCTGGCTTCTCCTCACTGGGGTGCGAACCCCATGTCCCCTCCTCTAAGGTCCCTGTTCCTGGCCTCCCCTTGGAGCAGCTTCCAAGCTGTTTTTCTCAAGCACACCATCCTGTTCTCTCTCTCTCTCTTCCCTGCTCCTGGGAGAGTATTTTTATTGATTTATTTAGTTTGTTTTTTTTTTCTTTTGGAGACAGGGTCTCATTATGCAGTTCAGGCTGGCCTTGAACTCACTTTGTAGCCCAGGCTGGCCTGGAACTCATGGGGATCCTCCTGCCTCAGCCTCCTGAGTGCTGAGATTACAGGCATACACCACCTCCTCCAGCCTTATTTAGGTTTTTTTGAGACAGGGTCTCTCTATGTAGTTCAGGGTGGTCTTGAACTCACTGTATTGCTCAGGCTGGACTCTGAACTTGAGGCCATCATCCTGCCTCAGCCTCTGGAGTGCTCGGATTATAAGTAGGTGTGCGCCTTGTTTTTTTTTTGTTTTGTTTTGTTTTCTGAGACAGACACTCACTATGTCTTCCAGGCTGGCCTTGAACTCAGGCTTCCACACCCGGCTCTGGGAGAGTATGGTATCTTTTTTTTTAAAGGATTATGTTTATTTATCTTTGGGTTGTTCTGTTCCTTCTTTGTCTCCCGCCCCAGGGTGTGTAGGGACTGAGACGGCCTTGGTCCCTGCGGGGCCAGCATGAAGCAAATGCTCAAAATGTGAACAGGCAATGGGGCGAAGAAAAGAAATAGCTCTCTGGCTGCAGCCTGAAATCTCTGGCCGCGCTCTCTGCTCTGGAAGTCGAAGGAACTAAGCTTTGCACGCACAAAGCCACAAGGCCAAGAGCTCCTGAGTCTGGGTTCTTGGGTCTGGGTTCTGGGGGGTTGAGAGGGTCCTCATTCCAGGTTCCTCTGACCCCCTGGACTGTGTTTCCAAATAGTAACACCCCACCCCATGTGCCCACTTCTCCCCTGGAGCTCCCGGGAGCTTCTTCAGTTTTGTTGTCCTTGTTTGTTTCATTTTTGTTTTTTGAGACTGTCTCCCTTTGTAGTTCAGGCCGGCCATTGAACACTCAGCGATCCTCCCGCCTCAGCCTCCTGAGCGCTGGGATGACAGGTGTGCGCCACCACAGCTGGCTTCTGGGAGCTTCTCTGGTCAAAGTCCTGACCTCTGCAAACTCAGGGCCCCTTCTGACCCTCACATCCAGCTTCCCTCCCTCCCCTGTTCCTTCCAGATCCAAAGACCTCGTTCCCCTTTGACCACAGGACTCTGCCCTTCTTCAGCCCAGTCACCTGAGGGCCACCTGTTCTCTGGGACACTGCAGGCCCCGGAGGCTCTGGCGGCCACCTGCACAAGGATGCCGTCACCTGTGCTGGCGAACATGGAAAGAGCTTTGAATGACGCAAACAGCCACCGTGGCCTGCGTGCATAGGTTCGCCACCATCGAGTCTGAGCTCTGTCTCCATTCGGGGCCAGACCTGAAGACCCAGCACTGTAGGTCCAGCACCAACTAGCTATGTCCCCAACTGCCCCCAGCCCCTCCCCTGGCCCTGGCTCTGGCCCTGTCGGCCCCACAGTGCCCCCATGCCCAGGCCAAGTAGCCCAGCCACAGTGCTACCCTCACCACCAGCCTGGGCCCCTCTCCTGTCTGGACCACAAACCACCTGTCCCTCTGAGCCTTCCTGCTGGGACCTTCAAGTTCTAGCTGGCCCTCCCTCATTCTGAATCCTGTCATGGCTCCCTGTTGCTCCAGGGACAAGTTTCCAGAGCTTCAGGCCAGGAGGGGAGGCTTGTTTTGTTCATCAGCTTCCCCTCCCTCCATCAGTTTACACTCTGCCTGTCTGCTCCAGTCATACTGGAGTTAGGCCACTGTCATTCGTTCTACTGCCTTTCTCTCTCTCTCCCCTCTCCCACTGTCCTGGGGAGTGAACCCAGGACCTTGACATTGAGCTAAAGCCCCAGCCCTTTTTATTTTTTTGTTTTCAGACAAGGCTTAACTAAGTCATGTTTTGAGACAGGGTTTCCCTAAGTCACTAAGTTACCCAGGATAGGCTGGAACCTAGGATCCTCTTGCCTCAGCCTCCCAGAATAAGTACCAGGATTACAGGCAAGCAGCCTGGCTTCTCTGGGTTACCTCTTTCTGGGATTCCCGCCCTCTCTTTTTGCCTGAAGAAAATCTGTGCTTTCTGGGCCAGCCCACAGCCAGCTCCTTTAAAAGCCACCTCCCAAGCCTCCCGGCTCCAGGCCCACAGATAAAGGCTGTGAATTCTGTTACCACCCCAGCCCCAGGCCTTGCCAGGAAAGGGCCTGCAGGGCCGGAGGAAGGAGCTGCTTGTGCCTGGGCCCACACAGGCGGTGCCAGGACAAAGGGAGGGAGCCAGGGCTGCAGGATGCACCGGGAGGGGCTGCCTGGCACTGGGGCCCCACTCCCCCGCCTCGGCCCCTCTGCCAGGCTCCCCGGGGGGGGGGGTGCTGAGCACAGATTTGTGGCTTGCCAGGGAAGCCACAGACCACACACACCTTCCCTGGTGACTCTGCGCTGCCAGTCTTTCCATGCCCAGCTTTGGGTGGGATTTGGGGTCTCAGCCTCGGGCAGGCAGCCTGCGCACTGCTGGGGATCCGGACTGCAGACTCCCAGAGGGCCACACCTCTCCCAGCAGAAAGCAGGTGAAGGACCTCGGGCTGGAGTTAGCAACCTGGGCCAAAGATCCCAGCACGGAGAGCCAGGCCAAACCCGCGCCGTGGGGGCGGACTTCTGGGTCCACCTGTGCGGGCCACAATTTCCCCATCTGCAGAACCGGAGAAAGACTTGCAAAAATGAGGAAAAGCTGCTTGCAATTGCTCTACTCCCACTACAGAGAAAGGCACAGCCCCTGGTTCCCGGCTGAGTTTTTACGATGTGGATGTGGGTTTAAAAAAAAAAAAAAAGAAAGAAAGAAAGAAAGAAAAGAAAAAAAAAGAAAAAAGCTGAGAAACAGCCGGGGACCCTGGATTGCTCAGACCACCTTAAATCAGCCTCGCAGCCCCTGCTACTGTGGAAATTCCTTTCTCCGCGGTGGTTGGCTGGGTGCGCCAGCCAATCCACTTGCGGTGCTCCCACATGGGTCCGTGACGTCACAAGAAGAGTTGGCCAGTGGCGATCAGGATACCGGTAACCAATGGTAGGAGGCGATAAGATCGGCTGGGCCAATGAGAAGGCGGCCAAGGACTCCCCGCGGGGGGTCTGGTAAGTGTAGCTCCCCCTCCCCTCCAGCAGACCCTCGTGGACGCCCGAGCTTGGCCGGATGGGAGGGGGATCCGGCACGATTAGTATCCCGAAGCAGGGAGGCATCCGCTTAGGCTAGAGCGTCTCTCCTTAAAAACAAGGATCCCTGTGCCCACTTAGAGCGTGGCCCGCCTCGCAAGAGCTGAAGCTGCGCTTTTGGCCCTATTTTACAGATAGGTAAACTGAGGCAAGGAGCAATGAAGTCAGGCTAGATTCCCAAGGAAGAACTGAGAATCCTAACCCGAGCTGGGAGACTCGTGACACGGACTCACTTCCGTCCCCAGATGGAGGAGGGATGCGCAAACATTGCAAGTGGGGTGTGCTGGGCTCCATACCTCAGTTTCCCCGAACGCCGACTGCAGAGGAGCCGGGCGTTGGTGTTCTGGGGAAAGACTACAAGTTCCAGCAGCGCCCGCGCGCCGCGCTGGCTCGGGCTGTCAATCAAAGTAACGTGGGTCCCGCAGTCTGCAACCCGCGCCCCCGCCCGCGCCTGCCTCCTGCCAGCTCCCGCTCCCTCTCCGCGGGCTCCGGGCCCGGCGCGGTATAATTACAGCCCATCGATCCGACCCGGGCCGGGAAAGCGGCTCCCTCGGGGAGGCCAAGCCTTTGGCTTCCGACACCGCCAACCTCGGCCTCCCGCGCCCCCCAGCCGAGCAGCTGGGCCACCAGCCAGCTGGGCCCCGGGCTTGCGGGTGACCTCTGTGAGCCTCAGTTCCTCCGTCTCTCTTGGCCGAGAGCCCACCCGCACCCCCACCCCGTGGAAAAACCACACACACACACACACACACACACACACACACACACACACACACACACACACACACACACACACACACGGAACCCCCTCCCGCAGTGGAGGCTGCGGCCTCTCTGAGCCTCGGTTTCCTTCCTTGTGCTCAAGATTCGCTCATGAAACCGATTTTCTTGGCTGTTGTGCAGGGGAACAGCCAGGGCGAGGTAGGGCTGGGGACTGAGCGGGGGCGCCGGAGCTCAGGAGGAGCTGGCCGGGCCAGGCGCCCTTGGCGGTGGAGGCCTGTGATCCCAGCTCTGGGCTGCTGAGGCAGGAAGGGCCCAAGCTCCAGTTTAGCCTGGGCAACTTAGCGATTTGTGGAGACCCTGTCTCAAAAAATAAAAAGGGCTGGGGATGGAGCTTAGTGCGAAGCCCCTGGGTTCGGCCCCCAGTACAGGACCGAGGGGTGGGAGAAAGGGGAGACCCACAGCCCCACGTAATCAGCACTGGTAAAGAGAGAGGAACCGACCAGGAGGTGGGCGTGTGGGACCAGGTGTGAGACCCCTGCTTGGGACGGTGGAAAAGAGTCCTAGACGGTGGGTGGTGGTGAGTGCTTCATCTAGGGTTGTGCAGAATGCCTAGGAGTTGCCTAGCTTGAGGGCTGCATTTAACTCCTCAGGTAAAGCAGCAGGGGGAAGATGGGGCAGCCTGGGCGCCTGGCCTGACCCTGTGGTGAGAAGGGGAAGTGGACACCTGTAGGTGGCAGAGCCTTGCTGGCTCCCTTGATCCTAAATTCACGACAGGCCCAGTGTCAGGCTATCTTGTGCTGGAAAGGGACAGTGGTGCGGTGGCCCCTCCCTGTCACCCCAGCACTGAGGAGGTTGTGGCAGGAGAGTCACCAGGAGTTCAAGGCCAGCCTGTGGGCGTCTGTCTCAAACAAGCTGAAAAAGAGAAGAAAGAAAAAGGAAAACTGGTATCAGAATCTTCACCAAAGTTAAAGTACCATAACATTATTCTTTTTTTTTTTTTTTTTTTTGAGACAGGGTCTCACTATGTAGGCCAGGCTGGCCTCAAACTCAGTGCTCCTCCTGCCTCAGCCTCCTGAGTGCTGGGATGTGTGCTCCTGCCACACATCCAGCTTCATAAAGCAATTCTTTATTTGTTTTGTTTTGTTTTTTTCTGGTACCGGAAATTGAACTCACGACCTCGTGCTTGCCAGGCAGGCGCTGTGCTGCTGAGCTAAATCCCCAACCCCCATAAAGCAATTCTTAGTGAATACTCAATATGGGGGAGCTGCCAGGCATGGTGGTGCACGCCTGTAATCCCAGCACTCAGGAGGCTGAGGCAGGAGGATCGTTTCGAGTTTGAGGCCAGCCTGGGCTACAAAGTGAGCTCAAGGCCAGCCTGAACTGCATAACGAGACCCCGTCTCAAAAAGACAAAATAAAAGAAAAAATATATGGGGGAGCCATTTGTTTCCCCATCCTGTCCCAAAGGGCCTCTTTCTTCCACTGTGACTGACACCCCACAGCTAGGCTGCATCTTCTCTCTTCCTCCCACTAAAATGTGGGTCAGCTCCCATTACTCTCCCAGCTCAAGAACCTTCCATAGCTCCCCAACCCCCTCATAATAAAACCCAAGCTCTTTGCCTCTGAGTCATCTGGGCCCCATCTAATTCCAGAACACCGGCTGGGCCGAGCTCAGGGTCTCCGTGTTTGCTGTCTTCTTGCTCACACCATGGCCAGCTCTCTTGTACACTTCCAGTAGTGGACCAACATCACCCTGCTCTACACTTGCCAAAGGTGCAACACCGGGTGGCTACACAGTATTTACTGTAGAGTAAATAGGAAAAGTAGGAAAGCCTGGAGAGGGACAGCACCCCCCAGGGTCACCCAGCATAGTGGCCGGGGCGCCAGGTCTCCCAGCTGAGATTCGCAGGTGACCCTTCTGTGGCATGCACACCCAGGGTGCCTGACCTTTCTGGGTGAGTTCTATTCCCACGCCCCCGGACTGAGTTCTAATCCCCCTTTTGAGCCAGGGGTGGAGGTGGTGGCAATCTTCCTGCCTTCAGCACTCCCAGAGTGCAGGGATGACAAGTATTTTATTTGCTGGTGGGTTTGTTTTTTGTTTTTTTTTTTTGTCTTTTTGAGGCAGGGTCTCGCTATGCAGTTCAGGCTGGCCTTGAGCTCACTTTGTAGCCCAGGCTGGTCTCAAACTCACAACGATCCTCCTGCCTCAGCCTCTGGGATTACAGGCGTGTGTCACTACGCTCGGCTTATTTGCTGTTTTAACCTGCCTCTTCTCTCTGCCGGCTTGCGTCCTGGGGTTAGGGCTGGGTGGGTCCCTGATACCCAACTCCAGCCTGGCACACAGCAGGCACCCAGAATACCCCACATCTGGCAGTGAAAGGACCTCAAGGGCCCAGAGATACCAAGGGACCCGAGAGGGACATCAGGGCCGTCCTCAGCCAGGCAGGGCCTGGGGTCACTGTGGCTCCCTCCAGCAGCCGTTGTATTTCGCAACAGGCTCCCCCTCGCCAAGTCGCCCAGGCTGGCCTTGAACTTGCGATCCTGCTGCCTCAGCTTCCCGAGTGTCCGGCTTTCTGCGGATTGTATCAGAACACAGCTCCTCGTCACAAAGGCCTCCTCCAGAGCTTCTGCCTCAGTCTCCCCTGCAGCCTGGCCCCTCTGTGTCCTCTCAAAAGCCCGGGGTATCTTGGCAACAGTACACATCTGGGCAGCACTCCCTGCTCAGCACCTCCCATGGCTCCCAGGTGCCCCAGCTCCCTGCAGCCCTGGCAGCGTCCCACACCGGCCCACAGCACCCACCTCGCTGGCTCCGCCATGCTGCCCTCCAAGTGCCTTGGCACCTGCTTGGTGTGGGGCATCCGGGGCAGAAATGCCGGAAGACACGGTACAGGAAGCAAGTGAAGGCGAGGTCAGCCTAGCCAAGGGCAACCCTCAGTGAGGACCAGCCGGGTCACCCTGCACCAGGGCGGAGGCCGGGAGGGGCCGGAAAGAAGGTGGTGCACAGGGGCAGGCAGGGCCTGGTGCGCAGGCCCTGAGAACCCCGGTCACCCTGCCTCTCCTGCGCAGCCCTCCTGGAACCGCAGCTCTCAGGGTCCCAGCCTCCCCGCTCCCCCATTGCTGAGTCCAGAAACTTCATGTTTTCCTCTCTCAGAGACGAAGTGGCCCAGATACTGAATGTCCCTGCTTCTGAATCTAGACTCCTTGGCTGTGTGACCTTGGGCAAGTTGGTTGGCATCTCTGAGCTTACTTTTTTTTTTTTTTGAGACAGGGTTTCCTTTAGGTTGCCAAGTTGCCCTGTGGGACCCTCCTACCTCAGCCTCCCAGAGCGCTGGGACGACAGGTGTCCTGTGCCACAGGGTCTTGAGGATGGTGTGCTCAGAAAGGGTTGCCTCACTGCTGGTCTCACGGGCCATCAGCCCGAGGCCCAAGTGGGCAAGACCTGAGATCATCGCCCCTGCCCCACCCCCACCCCGCCTCATTAGGTGCCAGCTCAGGGACCATTAGCCAACCAGCCAAGGTTGCCATCGGCTGAAACAGGGGAACCCAAAGCACCCCTGCCCCCGCCTCCCTACAGGCCTGCAGTGTCCCCAGAAACCCGCCGGGGGCTGGGGGGGGCAGAGATGACTTCACCAACCTGCGGCTGCCAGGGGTCAGAGACCCATGGTCCCTGGCTGCTTTGTCCTCTACCCAAGACCCTGCCCAGCTGCCCTGGTCTTTTGGGGGCAGAGGTGTCAGAAGTGGAACCCAGGGCTTCACACTAAGCTACATCCCCAACCTTTTTAAATTTATTTTTTAAAATTCATCCCCAGCCTCTTTTAACGTTTTGAAACGGGGTCTCTAAACTGCCCAGGCTGGGCTTGGACTCAGGCCCCTCCTGTCTCAGCCCTCCAGAGTGGTGGGAAGACAGGTGTACACCGCCATGCCCCACACACAAGGATAGTTTCACAGGCGACCCGGCTGCAGGAGGGACAGGAGGCCAGCTGCCCACTGCCAAGGTGTGCAGCTCTGAGGCTGGAACCCACACGGTACAACTGCTGCCCGTCAGGGTGTGCGGTCCTCTCTTCCACTTCCTGGGTGGGCAGCGCGAGGTCCCCGAGCCAAGTCCACCAGTGACAAAGTTGCTGTCCCCAAGGAAGGTGGACTGGAGGCTTCCCCAGGTATGATCCACTGTGGGT